CCACCAACTATTTTGCTATCCAAATTCAGGTAAGCATGGTTCAGCCTACAAAGAGATCAGCACTTTCAACAATTGCATATAGATTTGGCCCCCTATGACTCTTGGGTCCTGGGGTAACAAAAGCAAAAATTTTCTTACAAAAAGCTTTAGTGCCTAAAATTAGACTGAAGAGATCTGCTTCCTGAAATGGAGGTGTAACAGTGGGAAAACTTTACTGAGTCCTTGCTGGCAACAAACAATGCAAGTGTTAAGAGATGCATACTAATATAAAAAGCAGTGCATATTGAGCGTGACGGATTTGCAGATGCTTCTAAATCTGCTTATAGATGCATCATTTACTGCAAATCCACATCAGAAAAGTGAGCCTTTGAAGTGAACCTGGTTTGTAGCAAACCACGTGTATCATCTCTTAAGTGCACTGCAAATACCAAGAATTGAGTTATGTGCAGCAGTTCTTTCAACAAACTTGGACGACAAAAGTGAAGAGTGCCTTATAGCTAGACAGCTGACATCTTCCTGTAGAGTGATTCGGTGATTGTCCTTTCCTGGATGCGTAAAGAGCCTTACCTTCTAATAAACTTAGCTGCAAATCATATAGTGACAATACGGTACTTAACAAAAGTTCAACAATGGCAACAAATATCTTCCAAGAACAATCCTGCAGATCTTATTCTAAAAGGAATGAATCCTGAAAAACAGGTTAAAAATAAATTGTGGTTCAAGGGACCTACTTTTCTGATTGATCGAGAGTATCCCAATCATAAAATACCTGTGTCCAAGGAAACAAGTTTACCAGTAAACTTAAACAATCAGAACATATTGACTTATATATTCTTACTGTGACTGTTAACCACTTTATTCAAGGGTTATTATCAGTAATAATTATAAAAAATACTGCACGTTGTAAGTTTTCTTTTCAAATTTATCCACAACCTAAAGAGTCAAATTAAAAAGAGATGGAGACCCTTGACAATGGAAGAAATCAACAATGGGAAATTTTTCTAATAAAGGAGTTTAAAAGTAAAAAGTTTCCAGAGGGGATCAGACATTTATGTTGGGGAAAAAAAAAAAAAAATTCCTGACAAGAGTACGATAATATGTGAACTCTTTTTTTTAAATAAGTAGAGTACTAAGAGTGAATGACAGGTTGCTTTATTGAGATTACAGCAAAACATACTAGGGTACTGCCTAGGGGGTGTCTTTGTAGAAGACTTTCTTAGGGAAACTGATTCATATACATGTTACACATGGAAAAAACCACAAAAATGGCCATGCATCTAGATCATTTGCGGGATTCGAACGTCAGACCAAACTACCAGTGTTCAGCGACTTTACCACTCCACTGTTGGTGGGCAACAAATGGCAGAATAAAGCATGCTGATGTAAATTTTAATGGTAAATTCCCAATTATCCTGTCTACAAGTCATGAGTTAATCTAGCTCATTTTAGAATTCTATCGTAAGCAATATTTTCATCTAGGCCCTACTGCATAGTTACATCACGTTAGACAAAAGTTTTGGCCAGTTCAGAGTAAGGCAATGAGTGTTAAAGTTATGCATGATTGCTTTGTTTCAGAGTTAAACCCAAAGGAGTTAGTTGAACAGGGAATGGGGGATTTACCAAGCGAGAGAGGGTGATACATGACTTGTCATTCAACTGCTCAAGTGTGGATTTTTTTGGGCCCATTCCTTGTCAAGGATAAACATCAAAGGAAGGGAATTCCTCATAAAACATATGCATGCATTTTTATATGCTTAGTCACAAAAGCTATTCACTTCAAAATTGTCACTGATTTAACATCTGAGGCCTTTATTGCATGTTTAAAGAGATTTGTGGTTTGTAGATGTTTATGCTTGAAAATATTTTCAGGCAATGCCACAAATTTCATAGGAGCAAATAAGGAAATTTCTAGGTTACACAACTTAGTTGTAAAATCAGATGATGGCCTCGGTACTAAAAGCAGCTAACTTTGGTGGCTTCTGGGAAAGTGAAGTTAAAGCATTCAAGTATAATTTTAAAAGAGTTTTAAGCAATTCCAGATTGAGTTATTGAGAATTCCTAACAGCCATTATAAAAAAGAAGGAATTCTTAATTCAAGACCACTTGTACCTCTTAGTAATTGGATAACGATGTTTATGATGCATTAACCCATTTCTTAATTGGCAGATCCTTAAATACAGATATAGAGACAAATTTAATTGAGGTTACGGACAATAGATTGCCTAAGTGGAAAAAAACTGACAAAAATAAATTGCGTTTTTTGAAAGAAATGGCATATAAAATATCTTAATAATTTGCAGCAGAGGTCCAAGTGGATGGTAGAAAAAGATAATATGAAAATAAATGAGTTAGTGCTTCTCAAGGATGAAAATCTACCTCCTCAAAAAATGGGCATTTGATAGAATGACTGAGTTTTATTCTGAAGAACACAAATGGGTCAGAATATTTAAAGTAAAAACTGAATCTGGAGTTTATAAATGATCCATTTTAAAAATCTGTATTTTACCTATTGATGAGTAATCTTATATTAGTATTTTTTGTGTAATTTAATGTCATTATTATATTGTGTTTATTATCTACTTACACTCGAAATAACTGAATGATTTAATGGTTGAATGTAACCATTGCCACGTTGGGCAGAATGTTCCGTACCTAACTATAAGTGCTGTTGTAGAGGTGCCACCTAGGAAGGAGGAAAATGTGGAGAAGTCACGATGCTGTTATCGCAAAATGTTGAGTTACTATGGAAGTTGCAAGCAGCTTTCATATGAATTTTGGTTTTAATAAATTTGTAGAATTCAGAGTCAAAAATTGTTGTGAGTGTTTTAAGTGAAAATATTAAAGCGTGTATAAAAAAATACAGTCTACTAAAATGAGTGAGAACAAGTGTCTTATCATCAACACACTGTTATGTTACACTTTACATTAATAGTTTCATGCAAAATTCCTACCGCTGACCAAAAAAGTAACATTATGTACTTCATAAATTTCTATGACGATATGATTTCATGCCATTACACACAGCAGTTTTCTGGTGTAAACATATGATTAGAAAAGCAAACGTTGTTGATTTTAATTATGTTTCAACTTTTTGAAAATCCACATTATTATAGCTATGCGAAAATTTCCATCTTGCTTTGTTAAATACATTTAAATGCTTACCTAAATTGTTTTGCAAAAGCAATTTTTCCATGAATTCAAGTATTTCATTAATAATCTCCCCCTACCTTCTTCATTTTAAACTTATAGAAACTCCACAATTTATTACTATGTCTTTTTAGATGCTACCTTTTACTTCATATTTTTAATGATTTGACTAGAATAATTTAAGTGTTCTTCCATTGCATAATCCTAATCATATTATATGCATGTTATTTAGTCTGTTTGTTATTTAAAATAATTAACATCAGTAATCTTAATTCTACAACATGATTATTGATTATTATAACATCCTTGTCATGTCTCGATATCTTCTGCCTAATTTTTATCTCTTTCATGACACGAATTATTAACTGTGCAATCCTCCAAGTGTTTATACCTATTCTAAAACCCTTTTATTGCTAAAAGTTTTATCTTCAATTTCATAATTTTGTATTTACTCCGAGTTACATTTTTTTAGTTTTCATTCTGTTATACCTCTCTAATCTGGAAGTATACATAGTTTTAAATACTAGGACATTGATATGTTCCTTCTTCCAAGGTTTACACTTTTAATTCTTTCACATCAAAGTTGCCCCAAACGCCTGAGCATTCAGACAGCGACAGGTCATCCGCATGCCTGAATAATTTACTACTTCGTGTTTTGCCTCATCACATTACTGTATTGTTCATTGCTTTTAGTTGTTAAATGACATCTCAATCATTCTTTTCAAGTGACTAAAAGTAGTTCTGCTATTTTAATGAACCTTCTTTTTCCTTTGTTTACTGTCAATGTTTAGCTAATTGATGCCTGAAGTTGCAATCCCGTCCCAAGGGAGAACTTCACACAGGGTGAAAGCGTCCGAGAAAGAAGTTGTCGCTTTACTTAAGTAGGTTATTGTTAGTGCTGTAGTATTCAATTTGTCATGGGGAAAGGAAAAGCATTCCAACAGAAATTCGTATACATGGGCATTTTCGATGTTTGAGGAAAAGAGATTTGGTCCTCTCTTGATGCGAAAGAGTTAACAAGCTGCAAAATCATCTCACTCTTAATCTTGACCTTTCCTTCCATAGGTATATAGGCCTCTTGTATTACACAACATTAAAGAGTCTCCTTTGTTTTCCTCAAAAATCAGTTTCAGTTGCATGCTGATTAGCTGAATACAGGAATGCCTACCAATAATAAATGACTTGCCTTTGAAAAAGATTCAGAAACAGCCTCATGGGAAAAATGCTACATAGCCCAGTCTGTTTACCACAGACCAAATATGGAAAAACTACCAGTTTTTAATCTTTTTACCCACTCAGCCATTAGTAGGCTCAGTTCAAAGTAGTTAAGATCCATTTCCCATCCATTTCGCTAGAAATATGTACATTTGCAATGACATTTAATACATTATTTTAAATTCCATTTAGATAACCATTAACCAATCAAATGCTTTATTATCAACAAAAGAACACTGGGGACTAACTGCACATTTGCACTGTAAAAGATCAGAAAAATGCTGCAGATAAGATAACGGACTCAGAACTTACAAAGCACAGCTAACATTTTACTCTGAAATGTTTTCTTAAGATAGAATAAATCTTCTGAAAGGAAAAATGCTAAAGTTTTAAAAAAAATATTTTTCTACAAGTAGTAATTAAAAAAAATGTTAAATTTTATGATCTGCAAGCAACTACTATTTTTAAAATTAATATATCATTCTAGAGTACAGTTATGTGTGTCAAAAGTAACAGAGCTACTGGTAAATTTAGAAATATTTTATATAAAACTTGTTACTTCTTGTTTGAACCAAGCAATATGAAACCAAATTCAGATCCTGAAGCAAAAGAGTAATAAAAAATTTGTAAGAAATTACCTCTTGCATTTCTCTTCCATTCTTTCCCGCTTTTCTACTTCCATTTCTAGTGCTTTGCTTAAAACAACTATTTCTTTTTTTAGGAGTCTAATGTCACTAGCAGAATCTGAAGATACTTTTGAGGATTTACTGTCAACTGTGCAAGTTTGCTCAATAGACTTTCTTATAAAATTTAAATTTCTTTGCTTTTGGTATGATTCACATTCTACATTTGAGTACTTTTCAGCAGAGTGGAATTTTTGAAAATTTGATCTGAAAGAAAACAGTTTCATATTTAGAAAAGTTCATGAAAAGAAAAGTATTACACAATATTTATAAAAAATAAAAAACAAAGCATTAGTTTCATGAATTTGAAATAAATGATTTAACACTCATTAATCCAACAGTACAAACAATATTCATTGACACTTCATAAACAATAAAGATTTCTACGCACTGAAATGTGGAAGTAATTAAAAACAATTACTTTTTAATACATGTATCAAAACTTTTACACTATTCATGAATAATAATAAAAAAAAATTAAAAAGCTACATAATGAAAATTATGAAAAAATTTCTTAACATATTTAGTTATTAACCATCATAACGTTTACAAATCAGTCCAAAGTTACTGATAGTTTTAGGTCAACAATATGCTTTAACTAAGAGTGCATTCAAAAGTTTTATTATTGAAAAACACGATCTCAAATGATTCGCATGGATTCTGTTATTTGTACATTTTAATATGGAAACTGAGATTTAAACAGTCAAACCATGACTTACCCTATTATAGCTAATCAAGTTTATAATGAAGCACCAGCTATAAGAGCAAAGATTTGTATCCTGTCCAATGACTTCTATGTTTAATGTTATTTTATATGGCTGCAAAGAACCTCCACATGTCTGAAAATCAAATGCATCAAACCTTATGGCTATTTCTGACAGACATGTTTCTCTTCTTTTGCTACAAATGTCACAATATGCTAAGATTTACACAAATGCATCAGAAAAAAGCTAATGAATTTGCCAAACTCTTTAGAAAGACTGCCTTGTCTTTAAATGACTGATTTGATAAGATAATTTTAACAATATTTTTTTCCACAAAAACTGTTGGAGAATTAGAAAATGCTTCAAATTTTGATATTCAGAAATGGAGGAATGTCTAACATGATGTCTCTTGTCATCACAAATAAAACACTTTCAGTGCCGACAAAGATAACCTGTTCTATAAGCTGATGCCAAACCAAGTGTTAAAAACCTAACACACACTGGCAGTTAATTGCCAAAAGTGCATATCACAGTTCTTGTACGTGTCAACATGGATGACACAAAGCTTCATAGGTTATTGTTAGAAAACCTCAAAAAGCTAAGATGTGAAAAATTTCCCTATTTCTTATAAAGCTAATCCTACCTATGAAATGAGGTCAGAATTATTTGAAGAGCTATGAAAGTGAAATAAACTTTCAGTTAAAATGTGAAGCGCTTGACTGACAATTGAGCTGCAAAGACAGATGTCTTAATGAATTAACACTACTTTTGTGCACCTGAACAAGATGGCAAATCTACTGGCTCCATTTCACCGATTACATACCACCAGTCTTCAACACTAGTCAGTTCATGAATCTCTTACACTGTTGCCAACAAGGTGTTGCAAGGTTCATTGTTTGTTATCAAAGTGAGTACCTTAGTTGTACCTTACAAAACAGTCCATAAATATGTCTTGAATGGCAACTTAAACCTTCCTACCATAGATTTGACTAATCAGGCTGCAATACAAAGCTTTTAACAGTTCCCTTCTTGGAATGGTAGATGGTGGTCTCTTTACAGGTGCTACTCTGGATTTAGCACCAGCTAAATTTATCATGATCCTATTTTGATCTTCACAGCATTAAGATGCATAACAACAGGCATTCTGGGCAGCAGTTTCAATTCTGCAAGACTGATGCCAGCTGTTGTCTCACAATGCTCTTATATATCTCAATTTTTCTTTTGTTGAACTCTAACTGTGACAGTTTTTATATACATAATTTTACAAAATAACTTCATAGAACTTGTATCTCCAGCATTTTTCGAATCCTCTTTGCTAAATTCTGCCTTCTATTGCATATTATTTGCCTTCTATTACCTATTATGCATTTAAAAAAACTTCAGCATGATTTTGCCATGTGACCAGCTTCTAAACAGACCAGGCAACACCTTTTCTATACAACTATATCTCTTCATGTAATGACATATGGGCTGTTTTTGCACAATAAAAGCTATTATGATTTTTGTTGCAAAATAAGCAATTTAATTGGTTTATAACTTGAAGATTATGGAGACAATAGTCAATGTGGAAGGCCAGGCAGCTTCTTGTATATCTTGCTGCAGTTTTATGGCTTTTGAATGCGATATAACCACACATTCTGGAAACATGAGATGCCCTTTTCGTTCTACCTTACTGCATAAAAATGTCATCAACTTTTCTAACAGCTTTTCTTTAATCAAATGTGAAGAATCGGTATCTGCTTCTCTATTTAATCTGTGCTTATCCCATTCTTTAAGAATATCAGTTGGCAAACAAGACTCTACTACTGGGTATAATATAACTGAATAGTTTTCAGTTGTTGCACGGAATGTTTCTAATGCTCATAAGTAAGTTTCTAATCAATCATGGAGAATGCTCAATTTTTATACTTGAGTGATTAGTCAGCAAAGTTGGTTAATTTCAAATATAGACTTCAATCAACAAATCATACCTGTCAAAATGAGATTTTAAATGTTCCACCATTTTAGGAAAATTCTCTTTAGAAGGCTGATAGCTGTCTACTACATCTTCAGCACTTGATTTAGGTTTCAACAAAGATAACAAGTACTGAAACTTACCTTTTTCTTTTACACATTTAGCTTCATGTATGCATGAAAAATGGCCCTAAAAAGCTACCCAATTTTTTGGTATTACATCGTATTCTTCTAAGTTTAATTTTAGAAGTATTAAATTATCTTCGCTAATCACTGATACTAATCTTTAGAATAATTCTTAAACTCAATTTCAATATTTAGGAATTTATATAACTCTGTTATATTAAATTCTTCATTGGTAAATTCAATTAATTCATTTAACTGATCATCAGTATTAAATAAATATTTATCAATAATCTTATTGTGAAGAGAATGAATTTTCTTACATTCAAATTCTTTTAATGACATCAGACCTATAAATTGATTGTAAGCCATAGGAAATGAATGGCGTAGATTGCTTCTTTCTCTTTTCAACTTCTCTAAGACGTTTACAATCTTGCCAATTTCCGTTTTTTTTTTTTTAGCTGGATTAGTCATCTTTACAATTAAAAGCTCTGTTTACTTCCATTTATTACTTAAAATAATTTTGGACACTTAATATTAATCTTTCGCAGTCACGGACACCACTATTTTATGTTAGAAATGAATCAATAAAATAGAGTAGCTTATATAAAGAATGTATTTATTCACAATATATATGTTCAGGAAATAATCAACAAGGCATTTAAGCTGGAGAAGTTTATAAGAACTTCTGAACTATTCATTTAGAATTTAGAATTAATTTACATTTAGAATGTAATTTTCAAGTTCCTGCGTTTAAGAGTTTACAAAATAAGTTTCTTAAATTTTACGAGGTACATGCCACCTATCTTCGACAGTTCAAGAATCTCTTTTACTCTGGTGCTGACAAAGCTATTCCAGGCCTCATTGTTTGTTATCCAAGTTAACACTATAATAGAATCACTTCAGAAATATGCCATGAATGGTTACTTTAACGCTTCTGCTATCGATTTCAGGCTGCAATAAATGCTCCCAACAGCTCCATCCTTCGAATAGCAGGTCTCTTTATAGATGCTACTCTAGATTTATCAGCAACTAAATTTATCATGATTCTATTTTGATCCTTAAATTCAAATCAGCAGACAGCAGGTTCAAGTACGTTGTGGATGCCGCTATTTTATGTTAGAACTGGAGCAACAAAACAGCATATCTTATAGAATGTATTTATTCACAACATATATGTAAACAAAACAATCTTAGTCTTACAGACATTAAACATTTTGCAAACTTTAGAACCCAATCCAAAACATAAAAATTACATTTTTCTGACACTGCCAAATTCTTAACTATGAAAACTTGTTATTTTATTAATAAGACGTGCACTTTTATTTACATAATAGTTAAAATATCGATTTACAATACGACTGCTAAATACTACTATTAAATAATATTATTAAAATCTGCACATGAAACAATAATTAATATTAAATGTTTCCTTTTCAATTTCAGCATAATCCTTCTATGTATCTGTTAATGCATTCAATGCCTATGTCACTAGTAAATTATTCTTCAGTAAGACAGCTTCCACTCCTTTTCGTGATGCATCTACATACAGTACTATAGGAATATCTGTAACATAATAGTGCAAATTGGCTTATTTATCAAGACATCTTTGTCTTCTAAAAACTTCTTTACACATTATATTTCAATTCCAAACAGTTGGTTTCTTCAATAAATATCTTAAACTATCAATTCTGATATATTACATATAAATCAATGTACTCATTCATAAGGTTTTTACTTCTTGACGTTTCTAGTACCTTTAGACATGGAATAACCTTAATTTTGGGATATGGTTTGAAATAATCTTTAAAAATATGTATGTCCATGTAACTGACTTTATTCAATCCAAATTTATATTTATTTAAATATGTTCCTTTGTTTTTTTTATCTTCTTTAATCTTAAATTATGTTTCCTTTTTTTCAATTCTTTATCAAACTAACAAGTTATCTACACTAATGGGCCAAAACATTATGATCATCCACACATTTTTCAATGAAATCGTCTAGATGACAAGGGAAGCATGTGTGATTACGTGGGAATGGTATTTAAATGCTGCTATAGAAGGTAAGGAATCATTCTTTCACTTACTTTGATGAGTGTTAGGAAAGGCTGCTGATCTAAGAGAATTTGATAGCGGGCAGATTGTAATGGCCTGAAGACTCAGAACAAATATCTCTGAAAGGGCACAACTGGTAGGTTGTTCAACTTCTGCCATTGTTAGTATTTATGCAAAGTGGATAAATGACAGTAAAACCAGGAGTAGATGTTATGGTGTTGGACGTTCACATGTCGTCAAAGAAAAACATCATCACAGACTGTCCGACTTGGTACAGCAAAATCAACACCACAGGTTTATTCAGTTGATGGCCCAATATAATGCAGGTCCAAGTGCAAGTGTTTCAGAACCTACAGTTCAGCAGACACTG